CAATACACTATAAACTACTATAATATATAAAGTATTAACCATATTTACACTATATACACACAATAATCACAATACACTATAAACTACTATAATATATAAAGTATTAACCATATTTACACTATATACACACAATAATCACAATACACTATAAACTACTATAATATATAAAGTATTAACCATATTTACACTATATACACACAATAATCACAATACACTATAAACTACTATAATATATAAAGTATTAACCATATTTACACTATATACACACAATAATCACAATACACTATATACTACTATAATATATAAAGTATTAACCATATTTACACTATATACACACAATAATCACAATACACTATAAACTACTATAATATATAAAGTATTAACCATATTTACACTATATACACACAATAATCACAATACACTATAAACTACTATAATATATAAAGTATTAACCATATTTACACTATATACACAGAAGGTGATAATAAAAGTACATTAACTACAACTGAGAAACAACACGAGGGAGAAAAAGACGAGAACCTCTAATGTTATAATTAGTTCATGGAATAAGTGTTACCTATCACAATATACATTATAATCCTAACCCATGTACACAAAGTGAGGTGACCACTCAGTAGCATCCATAGGTTACCATGATGAGATGTATCAAGTGAAACATGTATATGGAGTAAGTAACAAGATCATTAGATTACAAGATGATGTAACCGCTAGATTAAGGTTAGGATATAAGTACCTCTGGCAGTATGTTCCTCAAGCAGATGTGAACAAGACTAAATGTATAGTGTGTGGCCAGACATATGGCCACACACTCCAACACTACGTCTTAGACTGTGAAAAAATAGAGCCTTATAGGGACAGATCCAAGCACACTGTGTATGCAGTGGCAGAGCACTTTATCTCTGCTGACAAGATAGCTGATATACTAAGGCTGTATCCACACTTCGCATGTAGAGTACCTAATCAAAATTCTAAGTACTGACTTGAACAATGTACGAGAAACACTCTGATAAACACCCTTTGTGGCCTCGACTCTGTAATCCTTTTTGCGCTACTGCTCACAGGATGAGTATGGGGTGCACAATAAACTAGCTGCGGTCCGGGGCAAAAGTAAAAAATTTCAAATTGAGTGAGACGCTACAGCCAAGCCACGTTACATACAGCCTTTTATAGAAGGTTGTGGAGAGACGGTCACAGTTATTGAGTTATACTTTTATTCCTGTATCACACTACTGATTCACGAGAGAGAGAGACGGGGAGAGAGAGAGAGGTGAGTAAAAACAACAACACCGACCACAGCTCTCAGACCAGCGGGAGGATCAGTTGCCAGAGGCCAATACACACACACACACACACATATAAATAACAATTTCTCGGAAACGAAACAATTCACAATTTATTCTTCAGTTACAGTAATTGAATAACAGGTTAAATCAAAGTTCTTCTCAATGTACACAAGATCACATACATGTACACTCTACGACAACAAATAAATACACACAGCGGACGTCCACAACACAGGAATAATAAAGCCCGAAACAATACGATTATATCTATTAATTTTTTTCCTAATGATTTCAATTACAACTGTAAATTAATACCGTCCACGTAAATCAGATTAGGGTATGATATCTATATAGTAAACACAACTGTAATTGAATCCTCACTAAAGCCGCAGAAAATATTAATGACATAGTGGTCGAGTGAGGCAATATTAGCGCCGCCACCACCACACCCACCGACCAACCAACGCCTAACAAAAAGCGGTTCACCACATCTCACGGGCGACACGCTGGCCAATTAGATCAGGGCGCTGGTCCCGCCTCACGCCTTCTCCGCCAATCAAATTACTGGAGGCCATCTACACCCGCCACCGCCCTTACACGCCCCAGTAACCTGGTTATTACCCGCCTCTTGCCCACATAATACACAAATCAATGGCCTCCCTATTTTTAACCTTCGCCCTTACGCTGTTATTTCTGCCGATCGCCAGCAACGAGACATAAATTACGGCCAGAGTTGAGGATGATTAGAGGCGAGACGAGCCAGCAAGGGGCCTGTGATTGAGGACCATCTTGCTGTAGTGTAGTGGTTCAATAGTTGGCTGGGGGGACCGGTGGTAAAAGCGGTACCGTTCTTGCCTCGCAAGCGAGATGTCACGGGTTCGATTCCCGGGCCGGTGGAAGTTGTTTGGACTTACTTCCTAGCCCCCACTAGTCCCTGTTCACCTAACAGTAAAGTAGGTACCTGGTGTAAATCGAAAGTTGCGAATTCGTATTCAGGGACAAGTTGTTGGAGCTTCCAATAAATTGATGACATAAACCACTGACTCTCCTGGCTACTACGCCCTTGACTCTTCAGGCTTCTACGCCCTTGACTCTTCAGGCTTCTACACCCTTAACTCATGAGACACAAAGGCAAGCATGAACTTAGCATGCTTCCCTGTTGGGCGCTGTAAACGCTTCTGCGCTTCACCTTACACAAGGATGTAGGGGAGTGCCCAATAAGAAAAAATAAATAGTTGGCTGTTGGTGTAACCCACTCTTACGTGTAACCCACTCTTACGTGTAACCCACTCTCAAGTGTAACCCACTCTTAAGTGTAACCCACTCTT